TTGTGAGTTCCTGTCGGGAGGTGAAGCCTTTCAAGCCTTCCCGCGACTGCCGGCAGAAGACGTCCTTAACCGAAAAGAAAGCCCTCCCCTTTTGGGGGGTGGTTTGGGAAGAAGGGCATGGCAGGGCTAACACGCTTCAGAGAGGCGCGCCAAGCAGCGCCCTTCTGACCCTGAAGCGCGTCTGGCTGGCGCGGCTTCTTCACCCCAATGTCCGCCACAAGCTCNNNCCCTTCACCTTTAGATCTCTTTCGTGACATATCTTACCTAACACCTGCACGCCCCCCAAACCCTAAAGCCAAAAAGCTTGCAGAGAAGCTGGAGGCTCTTCCTGCACACCCTCCCGCCGCTTCTCTGCAACCCGGCGACCGCGGCAAGTCCTTCAGCTCCCCGGTGATCTTCTGGCTACTGAGATCCACATGAGTCAGCTGCCTCGGGAGGCGGGCAGGTCACAAACAAGCGCACGGGCAGGAGGGGCTGGAAGGGCTGGAAGGGCCCAGGACAAGAAATCCTCAAGGAAACAGCTGCTGCTGTGTGGGAAATGCCTCTGTGGAAGCTTCGGCCAGAACCTATGCGACTTCGCGAATTGCAAGACCCCCGAATGCAGCCCCGAGGTGCTCTTCTCCGCATGACAACATGCCGCGCCCTAGGGGTTGCAGAACACAGAGCGCCCAAGCGCCCAAAACTCAAGTATGCCAGGGCTTCTTACGTTTCCGGCTTGTGAGTTCCTGTCGGGAGGTGAAGCCTTTCAAGCCTTCCCGCGACTGCCGGCAGAAGGCGTCCTCAACCGAAAAGAAAGCCCTCCCCTTTTGGGGGGTGGTTTGGGAAGAAGGGCTCTGAGCATGGCAGGCCTCTCAAAAAGGCGCGCCAAGCAGCGCCCTTCTGACCCTGAAGTGCGTCTGGCTGGCGTGGCTTCTTCACCCCAATGTCCGCCACAAGCTCCAAAAGCGTCCCCCTTCACCTTTAGATCTCTTTCGCGACAATCTTAATTACCTACGTGTACCTGCGCTTATTCCTGGAATCTTGTCTTCCCTGCGCAACCGCACAGATTGATCCTTTTCACAAGTTCGGAATCGGTCGAAAGATGTTGGAAGTGAGCCTCGCGGCATTTTTGCAGCTTGAGACAAGGTCTGTGGTGTCCTCAAACGCGTAAGGTCCATAAAGCCCCTCAAAACACCCAAAACAAGGCTTTCGCGCACTGTGGATGTCAGCCAATGTCGACTGTGCTCTGCAGCTGTGAACCGGCCACCCATCACCTTCTCGACCACTTACCCTTTGCTGCACGCCCCAAACGCGAAAGCTAAAACTGAGGAGGAGCTTCAAACGCTCGCACCTTCCAAACGTCCCTCTGCAAACCGGCGACTCAGGGAGGTCCTTCAGCTCCCCCGTGATGGCATCGTGACCATCCCAATGGCAGTCCACGTAGGTCAGTTGCCTAAGGTCAGGGCAAGCCCGGACCGAAAGTGAAGCAGCTGACACTGCGCGCAAACGCTGTGGCTACACCTGCTAGTCAAAGACAGGACCAGGTTCTATCCTGTTTGCAATTTCTCAAGAACAATCTCAGGGACGGCGCATCTAAACGGCACCGGGGGTCCTACATGTGCCCTGAACGGGCCACGACCTCAAAACTGGGCTCCATCGTGCGCTTGCGTTGCTTCTCAAGCCCTGACTTGTGCGCGGGAGCGGGAAGATGAAGCCTTGCGAACGGATCCAACGGGTGTCAAGCGGCTTGCGCCAGGCTGATCAGACGATGCACTGACATTACTGGCTCGTTTTTCTTGGAGGCTAGATCCTTCTTGGGCGCTGGCTTGACAGGTGCGGCCTTCTTGGGTGCATCCTTCTTGACGGGATCCTTCTTGGGAGCTGGCTTAGTGGGCTCCTTCCTGGCAGGTGGATCCTTTTTGGCAGAGGCGCCTTTGTTGCCTGATGCCTTGGTGGGCGCTGCATCTTCGTGTTGATGCTCGTTTGTGGACCCGGCCCGTTGGCTTTGGACGTTAGACATTCACCTGCTTCGCATGCTGGAGATCAGACGCGACGCCGGCTTTCCGAAACGGACTTCTGGGCCTGGCGCAGAGCCTTTGACAACATGAAAACGATTGGACAAGGTCGAACGACGCTCCCTCTGCTGGGAGCAATACCCTGCGACCACTGTGCAGTGGTGGAAAACTCACCCAAAGTCTCGCGGACGGAAGCATGCTCACGCCCCTCGCTTGCAACTGAGCAGCCGAGGCAAATCCTTCAAGTCTCCCGTAACGTGCTCGTTGCTGCGCAAGTCGAGGATAGTTAACTCGCCTCACTCGTGGGCCATCACGCAAAAGCTTGACTTCGCCGGGCCTCGGCCTGCGAGAGGCCAGGCTCCGGCTTTTCAAAAAGACCTACATACAAGCCTTTCCTTAACGGAACCCTATAACACACTGAAGTTTCACCATTCTTCCTCCGTGCATACAAAGGCGCGGGGCAAATCCCGAAACGACACATCGTCCATCTCGTCATACTCATGCGGCGCGTGCCAGCTTCGGTACTTGAGCCTGAGAAGCGGCCCCGCAGCGCTGTGCGTGTGTATACGTGTCCCTTCTGTTTGTCAATGCACCAGCATATCAAGCACCCCAAAACCTTGACAAGGCAGGATAAGAGTTCACCCTGTTAGCTACCATGCAGAAACAGAAGAGCAGATTATTCGCTCCCTCGTTTGGGGACACTGGCAGGGACCCGACGGGTTCCGTTGGCATATCAGAGCCCCTGCGCGGGACCAGGGTCGAAGCTCACACCAGCTTCGGGACCAATGGCGTATGGTTGAATTCCACGCTTGGCTTGCTAATCCTAGACGCAGACTCTGCTATTGCTCGTACTGAGAATCTTCAGCCCAGCCTCCAACTTCTGGGCACGTTGCGGTTTTTCGCCAGTTTGGCAGGGTTGAGTGGAGGGTTCTCTACAGACGCCCATCGTAGCCCTCTTCCTAATGTTTGTTCCGACTGCGGTCGACACTGTGCGCCTTGCTTGACGCATGTCTTGTGGGAATGTCAGTTTAACCAGAGTTTTCGTGACAACTCAATCACAGGCCCCGCAGTTTGCTTGAGCAAAGGCTCGTCTGGCACCAAGGTACTATCCTGGCCTGATAAGTGTGATGGGATGGCAAATATCCGAGCAAATGAATGGCGACAGCGCGGTAATCGCCAAGGATGGCGATGGCATGCACATTGAGGGGTGAATTTCCCTTTCCTGTTATTTCCTTTCCTTTACCACCGGGCCTGGTGATCGGCAAAATGCCAACTAGGCTGAGGGCGAGAACTGTTCCCTTTCAGGTCTGCCGCTCTTGCGGTGCTGTATGGGTATCACGGCCGTTTCTGCACGGCACAGCTAAGGTATCATCGGGTCCCTCTGCTACGTCGTTGGTCCGTGACAGACTACGACATGAACAAACACGCAACACACAGAAGAGCGCAAACCCCTTCGCAAAATACTAGCGCGTATTTGCGAAATGCCTCGTGGAACCCATCATCGAGATAAGCATTAACCAAGGAAGCTCTTCGAATCTACGGAAGCAGTTAGCATGAACTGAATAAATGCCTCCTGCACCCAAATAAGCCACAGACACACACCCCCACTTCCACAAACGTAACCTGTCAGTAAATAGTACACGGTCAGTTAAGCAAGGCAATGCCGCAATGAAAAGCTGCATGGCCCACATTCCTAAAACTTCGTTTGGACTTCAGCTTGAATGGCAATGCAGGTGGATGCCGCTAAGTCGCCTCCCACTGCACAATGCGAGGTTGGAGGATTGTAAAACTTGTGTCTGGGGTCTCCCCA